GCGCGTAGGAACAGGGTCCTTTTAGCCAGAAGCGCTATCCACCCCACCCTAAACCCTAAACCCTAAACCCTAAACCCTAAACCCTAAACCCTAAACCCTAAACCCTAAACCCTAAACCCTAAACCCACCCCCCCTAAACCCGCAACCCGCAAACAAAGGGAACCCAAAGCCGAGCCCAGGAGCTCGTAAGAGAGAACCGCCATGATGAAGGAAGAATGGAAGACAACAGAGCTGGTGCTACCTCAGGAAGAACAGGCGCAAGTCTTGAGTTCTGCATGGCTGAAGGTTCTAGGGCGTGCAACCTATATGTAGCTTCTGGTTCTGTGTATTCAGTCTTATGTATCTTGCTGCCTTTATGCGCCTGTGTCGCTGTAACAGTCCTACATATTCCGACGGTGCCCTCGTCCCAGACTGAGGCAGCTTCTAAATTCTAAGCTTCCGGCATGTTGCCGGTGCATCTAAACCCTAAACTTAGGCCCTAAACCCTGAACGATTTTTGAAACTGGGCTCTAAGTGTCAGCCAAAATCCTAAACCCTAAACCCTAACTTAGGGTGGCGGTCTGAGGTTCGAAGGACCCTACTAATCCGCCGAAGTCCCAAATCCTGAAGACCCAAACCCCTGGACGACAGGGTCCCAGAACCCAAGCACTGAAAGCCTGGATTATCATAGCCGCATGGTAACCTGCTATTTTTCGTGGAGTGTTTTTCGGTTTCTGAAAAGACGTCTTGTAGGCGTGGCTGAGCCGCTTGATGTCATGTGGTTGCGACGGCATGGGCAATATAAGGTCACCACAAGGAAGCGAGAGGTGATTTCGAGAGCGCTGCGCGTCTCTGTTGACGACATCCTTTCTCGGGTTTGAGGAACCGGCTGGATTCCCCCTAAGGGTCCAAGTACCTAATAATCAAATACTCTCCCAAATACTAACCCACAAAACCATTGTCCGTAAACCTAGTACCTAAATATTAGGTCCTTTGGACCCTTAGGGTTCCGGATTCTGTGAGCCCAATTGAACCCAAAAACCCTTTTGCTGCAGGCTTGCAAGCAAGAACGCCTGGTAGTTAGCCACTCGTCCGCCGACTAACACTCCTAAACCCTACACCCTGAACCCTAAACCATGAACCCAAAACTTATGTGAAACAACAGAAACTCAAGGGCTCACGTCTTCTGAGCTGCTCAGAGGAAGGTGAGCTGCAGGCAGGTACGCCCAGCCAAAGGACACATACCTTGGCTGACCCTCCAGGTACCTACTATAGAGGGCACTACAGCCCCTAAGGCCCTATATAATAGGTACCTGGAGGGTTAGGGTTTAGGCATTGGGGTATAGAGGGCACTAGAGCCCCTAAGGCCCTATATAGTAGGTACCTGGAGGGTTGGGGTTTAGGCGTTGGAGTATAGAGGGCACTAGAGCCCCTAAGGCCCTATATAGTAGGTACCTGGAGGGTTAGGGTTTAGGCATTGGGGTATAGAGGGCACTAGAGCCCCTAAGGCCCTATATAGTAGGTACCTGGAGGGTTAGGGTTTAGGCGTTGGTGTATAGAGGGCACTAGAGCCCCTAAGGCCCTATATTTACCTGGAGGGTTAGGGTTTAGGCGTTGGGGTATAGAGGGGCACTAGAGCCCCTAAGGCCCTATATAGTAGGTACCTGGAGGGTTTGGGTTTAGGCGTTGGTGTATAGAGGGCACTAGAGCCCCTAAGGCCCTATATTTACCTGGAGGGTTTGGGTTTAGGCGTTGGGGTATAGAGGGGCACTAGAGCCCCTAAGGCCCTATATAGTAGGTACCTGGAGGGTTAGGGTTTAGGCGTTGGGGTTTGGGAGTTTAGGGTTTGGGTTCGGGCAAATGCGGGTTAAGGGGGTTAAGGCTGGGCGCGTTGCAGAAAAAGGGTCCCAACGGAATGTCCAGCAAATTCGGAGATGTATATATATATATATATGTGTGTGTGTGTGTATGTGTATGTATGTATATATATATATACATATGTCTGGCTAAGAGCACCAGAGGAGGCTCCCTGAAACCCCATGCACTCACACCCTAAACCCTACTACATTACGGTTTCTCAGCCTTGCCTGAACCCTTTTGCAGTGAGCTTCCCACACGGGACGTCGAAGGAAATAAACCCTCACTCTCTGTCTCCAAGGCATTCGAAACGTCAAGACGATTTCCCCTTTTGGCATCAGGACTTGTGCAATCGCCTGACGGTCTGAGCAGACGGAGGTTCAGAGGTCACGACTGCACTTCCTGACCTTGCTCAAACACCTCGTCGGGACCGCCTCGAAAACACACGCACACACACACACACACACACGCACACACACACACACACACACGAACGAACGATCCATAGCCTGTTGTTAATAATGCGCTTCGCAAAACTAATTTCCCTAAACCGATAAACCCTCAACTACCTTCGTAGAGCTTCTTCGGAACCGCTAGGTACGGCTCCTTAGAGCTGCCGACACCTTCGATGCAAATCCCAAACCACCTTGCACCCCCACCCGAAGCCCGACTACCATCTTTATACAGGCTTGATTGGAGCTCGCCCGGCCAGGGAGTACCTAAACCCTGATCCCTCACTCCACACCCTGAACCCCAGACTCCCAGACAAAGCTACCAACCAAGAAAATCTCAACCATCCCTAAACCCTACAAAACCCTAAATCCTAAAACCCCCAACACTCCGAGTTCTCAAACCCTAAACACACAACCCGGAACCCTTGCAAACCCGATTACAGTAACATCCCCCTCTTTCGCCAAAAGCCCTCCGCAGAAGCCCAGCCGCAGTGTTCCCATGATCAGCCCAACAGCGATCAGCGGTGCGGATTCGGCCAAAGGGCGCTCCTGGAAAGTCTTCGTTGTGCTAGTTTCCTTTGAGGGCTTGTGCAAAGCATGTTAAAGGATGTTCGAATGTCTCCGAGGATTTGCGGTTTCTGTTTCTCGGTGGTTCCGAACCCTACTCCTCTCAGAAAATGATTGGCTCCGTTAAGAATCCCCAGGGCAAAAACTTAAAGCTTAGGGTCTACCTGAAGCCTACGAAAGATATGTTTACGGCTCCTTAGTATGAGGTTATGTGTCCTTAAAGAATGTCTTGAGTCTTGGGCTGTTTATGATTTCCTAAACCATAAGCGTTTGGGGCTGTAAGGTTCTCTGCCTGTCCGGGTTCCTTTGAGGATTCTTTTGCTGGCTCCTTCAGAGGCTCCTAGCGGCCTGCACGCATTCCTTTCGGTTCTACAAGAGTTCTATGGTGCTTCTATGGGGTTCTATAGGGTTTAGGGTTATGTAACCTTCTTCAGGCTTTTCGGATTGGAGTTCCAACAGCTTACCCTAGATCCAACAAGACCAACATCTGCGAGCGGTCAAGATCGGAACTCCTTTGTTGCTCACGCTTGGCACAGCCACGCAAGGACGCAAGGATGCGCCTGTCCAAGCGTCATGTCTTCAACCTCGCTCACATTCCCAATAGCAAGTGCGTGCAAACACAAAGGCACGTAGACCACAGATTATTGTCTGAGACACCGCTGTGAGACGGTCGAAAAATGGGCAAAAATGATTTAATAGGAATGTGGATGCAAATCGCAGATGTGAGGCATGCCTGCCAGTCTCACTTCCTATCCCTGTCGACGGGCAATATAGTATTCAATAATCACACACACACACATACATACATACATATATATATATATATATATGTGTAGACATGTGTATGTGTATATATATATATATGTATGCCGTTAATATATAGTTAGCTCCACGAAGCAAGTGGACTAGAGTGCCAACACCTAGTCGCCGCCGAGGGCCCTGAAACTCTGCCAGGATCCTGCTGACCGCTGAGTATCAGCCCCACCTCCTTCCCTCTTTGAGGGTTTAGGGTCTAGAATTTAGGGTTTAGGTTTAGGGTCTAGGGTTTAGGGTCTAGGGTGTAGGGTTCTGGAAATTATAGGAACCCGGAAGTAATCTTTACCAAAGGGAGGGGGGTTTGACATCGGAGGTCTGTTCTACAGAACTGCCGCAACCGCACTCACTGCTTCACCACGGCCGCATGCCAGGAGGTCCCATGCCTCCGGGCAAGATGGGTCTGGCCGGAATGATCACATTCCTGGGCGGCTCGGTCCCTTCAAAGGCTTCTTTTCAAGCACTTTCTGCATGGGCTCCCCTAAAGTCCCTAGAAGCGACGCTTTTGAAGAACCTTAATCAGAGTACGTATCCTCATATAAGAGGACCCTATTCTAGAACCCTATGGTACCCTTTAAGGGGTCTTATCCTCATATAAGGGGACCCTGTTCTAGAACCCTATATAAGTACCCTCTAAGGGGTCTTATCCTCATATAAGGGGACCCTGTTCTAGAACCCTATATAAGTACCCTCTAAGGGGTCTATGCAGGCTCAGGGTTCGCGGTTGAGACTCCTGGAATCTAGGACTCCAGCAGTTCCTGGAATACCTTTAGAGAAGTGTTTAGGGTTTAGGAAAAAAACGGGGCAGTCATCAAGTCCGGTTTCAGAAGGGAAGTTCTTTTGCCTAAACCCTCCTTTTGAGGTAGGGATGTTTAAGGTTTAGGGTTTCTGGATCTGAAGACCCTAAACCCTAAAACCGTGCTGATACGGCTTGTTGCTCAAGTTAAGAAGACATGGTCAGAGGTTCCTGCATTGTCAGCTCTTTGGGTTTCAGGGCCTGGGTTTGTTTGGGGTGGGTTCACCGTCGAATCTTTCTTGGAAACTATGAGAGTTGAAGCTTTTCAGGGGGGTTCAGGGGTATAACCCGGTGCTTTAATATTTGAGGGTTCGCGTTTTTTTTAAGTATCTTCTTAGGGTTCCATTACACAGAAATCCCAAAAAGCTGCCCTTCAAGAACGGCCGAGGTTCGGAGGATAAGGAGCACTCGCGTTCACGTTTCTGGCGGGTGGCACGGCTCCCCGGTGCCGTGCGCCGGCCAAAGTCTTAGAGTTGGACATTGCTCGCTGCACTGCCTCCAATATAATTGCGAGTAACAGTAACAGACAGCGTAAAACCTTAAAGCCCTAAACCCTAACCCTAAACCCTTAACCCGACTAAAACCCCTGAAATCTAACCCTAAACCCGACTACAGACCTGAAATCTGGAGCAGCTTGCCTCAGCCCGGAGCTCGGCTGTCTCGGTGAGGTCCGGCGGCATGGTCTGGTCGAGGCTGAGCCTCGCTCTTTGACTAAAGAGGCTTCGGGTTCTTAGGATTTTTTGGAGGCTTAAGCTTTTTAGGGTTTTTAGGGTTTCTTGGGGTTTAGGGTTTTTAAGGTATTTTGGGGTTTAGGGTTTTGGGTTTTGGGGGTTTGTAGGGGTTTACGGTTTTTAGGGGTTAGGGTTTACAGGAGTTTAGGGTTTATAGGGGTTTAGAAAGACAAGTTGATAGTTTGCTCCCCCTCGAAAGGCTAGGATCAATGCCTACGGGCGAGGTTTCATAGGAGTCCAAACTACTGACAATGCGGGTTTGGGGTTTAGGTTTTAGGTTTAAGCCACATAGTCATGTGCACATTGAGGGATGCCCTCGGGCGAACTATGAGAACAACACCAGAGACATGAACAGAAAGAACCCTTGTTAAAACAATCTGTGAACACACCTAATTGTTGTTTCCCCAAGAGGCCATGATGAAACCCTAAATTCAGAACCAAGCAGCCCCAGGAGGAACTGGGCGTGAAGGAGCGCATGGCAAAGCTGCGGATGCTCCAACAGAACAGCTCGGGCTCGCTCGGGCGAAGCTTTGGCTAACTCCTGCTTTGGGGTGGAGGCTTTAAGATGGGTGTTGGGTTTTGGGTGTTGGGGTGGGCAAATTCACACGGTTTTGGTGGAACTAATTTCTCGAAGACGGTTGGGGTTGTGGGGTTTGTTGGGTGGTTAGGGAATTATGCGCTTGGGGTGAGGGTGTTGAGGAGTGTAGGTTTGGGAATTCGGTTTTCTCCTGCATGGTTCCCAGGCACAGCTGCAGATGTGCCTGTGGCATTGAGGCCACAGTCTGCACAATGTCCGTGTGTGCTGCAACTGATGCCATGATGGTGTCAGCTGGCACCTTGGCGCTCCGTTTCAATCAGAAGTACCGGAATACATAAGAGTAAGTGCATACCACAACGCGTTCGTCAATGCTTCCTTACTCCCCAAAAGCGCAGTGAGGCTGGCACGTTCGGATCTTCCAGTGCGGCTGCTGCCGCGGCGGCAGGATCCACTGTGCTTGGAGTCACCACTCCGCTGCCTGCCGTTGTACCTGGGTTCCGAAGCAGAAGGGGAGCTATCGGGAAACCAGATGCCTAACGATGTAAGCAAGACCCCTAAACCCTACATCCCAAAACCAGCACTCCGAAGCCCAGGTACCCGATGTTTTGATGGGTGCAGGCGGTGCTTGGGGCTGACGAGGTCGGCTCGGTGCCTCGGGTCCCACCAGTGCCAAGGTGCCACTACCAGCCTTTGCAGCGGCACGTGCAGGTGCACCACGCGACTGGTCGTTATCGGCAAGGTCTAGTCGGAGCAATCTTCCATTGCACTCCTTCTCGCTGAGGATCTTGATAGCCGTGATGGCTGTATCTGGGTCCGCGAAGTCGCAGAAGCCGTAGCCTTTAGGTTGCAAGGTCTCTTTGTCAAAGACCATGCGAAAGGACTCGACCTTTCCACCTTGGGACAAATGCCCACGAACATCATCTTCTGTAGCATCCTGAGTTCTTGTGAGGAACTTGATACAAGTTACCATGGTAAAGAAGCCGTATTCTTACTGTGGATCTCTATTATGATAACCTAAATTAATTAGCTTCCTGAACAAATTCTTTACTATAAATCCCTATTATGATAACTTTCATGAACTAACTTCCTGAACAAGAGCCTAGCATCGTATGGGATGTTTCCCACAAAAACGGTGGACGTTTTCCCGGGTTCTCCTCCTTTTGACACCCCTCGTGCAGGCATTCCACGTGCCAGCTCGTTGTCTGCAAGATCCAGTCGAAGTAATCCTCATAGAGTTGAAAGAGGTTCAAGGTTGAGGGTTTAGGGTTGTAGGGGTTCAGGGTTTAGGGTTGGGGTTTAGGGTTTAGGGGTTGGGGGTGTCGGGTTTAGGGTGTTTAGGGTAGTAATCCTTGCTTGCTAGGGGATAAAGGCTGCCTGCTCTGCTACTAAGAATCTACCATGGCATTCTCTTTCGCTGAGGACTTTGATGGCAGCTGCAGCTGTCTCAGGATCTGCGAAATCGCAGAATCCGTAGCCCTTTGGCTGCATCGTTTCCTTGTCGAACACCATGCGGAAGGACTCCACTTTGCCACCCTGGTTTAGATGAGCACGCACATCATCTTCGCTGGCATCGTACGGAATGTTTCCGACGAACACCGTGGCCGTCTTCCTGGGTCCAGGAACCAGCGCCATTGCAATTTCGTGCTGGCACTCCTGAATCCTTCCTACCTTGTGCGAGACGTGTTAAGCTGAAACTAGTAGCTGAGCACTACGACGATGCTTTTACTGCCTGGGGTTTCCACTGTCATGCTTGAGGCACAATGAGACTGCGGCGGTTTTGGTGGTTCAGATCCCCATCCCCCCCCATCATCACAAGAAACCTCAGGATGTGTCCCCAAAGCTGAAAGCCCTCACAGATATCCGAACACTGCGGCGATGTTTGATCAGGCTGGCGATATCGGTCCAGGAGTTCGGGTCAAGCCGGCCAAGTCCAGTCGGAGCACTCTTCCTTTGCACTCCTTCTCGCTGAGGATCTTGATAGCCGTGATGGCTGTATCTGGGTCCGCAAAGTCGCAGAAGCCGTAGCCTTTAGGTTGCAAGGTCTCTTTGTCAAAGACCATGCGAAAGGACTCGACCTGTCCACCTTGGGACAAATGCCCACGAACATCATCTTCGGTGACATCGTATGGAATGTTTCCCACAAAAACAGTGGACTTCTTTCCAGGCTCTCCGCCCTGTGATACCCCTTTGCCACGCATTCCTCCAAAGCTGTCTGCAAGACTCAGCCGCAGTAACCTGCCATGGAACTCGCGATCCCCAAGGACTTTGATGGCAGCGACAGCTGTCTCAGGATCTGCGAAATCGCAGAACCCGTAGCCCTTTGGCTGCATCGTTTCCTTGTCGAACACCAAGCGGAAGGACTCCACTTTGCCACCCTGGTCTAAATGAGCACGCACATCATCTTCGGTGACATCGTATGGAATGTTTCCCACAAAAACAGTGGACTTCTTTCCAGGCTCTCCGCCCTTTGATACCCCTTTTCCAAGCATTCCTCCAAAGCTGTCTGCAAGACTCAGCCGCAGTAACCTGCCGTGGAACTCTCGATCACCAAGGACCTCGATTGCAGCAAGAGCTGACTCAAGGTCCACGAAGTTACAAAAGCCGTAGCCCTTTGGCTGCATCGTTTCCTTGTCGAACACCATGCGGAAGGACTCCACTTTGCCACCCTGGTCTAAATGAGCACGCACATCATCTTCGGTGACATCGTACGGAATGTTTCCGACGAGCACTGCGGCCGTCTTTCTTGGTCCAGGAACCAGCGCCATCGCCATTCGTGCTGGGGGCTCTGAATAGTCTGCGAATTTCTGCTGCCTTTGAAACTGGCTAGACCGAAGTGGGTACTTGTCAAAATTATGGTCCCTTTTGGGGTGCCCTAAATAATAGGTGCCGTATTATAATAAGGACCCAAAAAAGGACCATAATTTTGACAACCACCCAAGTGGATCCTTGATGTTTCTGTCGGAAGTTGTGTGCACCAAGTTTTTTCCTGGATAGCTACGATTTGGCACTCGAGGCCGAAAGGGAAAAAGTTGAACTTCAGGTGTGGGGTTGGGGAGGGGGCCGTTGCCTCCTGTCACGCAAGTCCCACTACTTTAACCCGGAATATGCACTCATGTACAAGCTTCTACCATCTTAAATACTACTCCTTAGGGCTCTTTACGATATTTAGTAGCCCTGACCACTCTTTGAATTATAAAGGCCCCTACATGAAACCCTAAACCCTAAACCCCCTGCATGAATGCCTCAAGGGTGTCAAATCCCTCGAAGGTCTGGAAACCCCACGCCAAGCGCCGCTTCCTGCAGCTCGCTCCCGTGAGCTGGCTTAGAAACTAACGCCTGCCCTTCGGGGTTCGGTTTAGGGTTTAGGGTTTAGGGTTCCCTTCGGGATTCGGTTTAGGGATGCTTAGGGGTTAGGATTTACGGTTTCGGGATGACTATGGTGGGATTGCCATGCCCCCAAAACAAACCAAAGGAATTATGATGGATTACATATCTTTTATACAAAGAGCGAGAGAGAGATTATGGTACGCCAAACAAGGCTGGCTGTTCTACCGCGAAGCTTAGATCTTGAACTCCGGCTTGCAGCCTCGCCCAATGTGTGTTTACCGATGTGCCTGCATCCCAGGACATACGCGCTTAAGTATCTGTCTTAGGAAATCCAAGCCAGGAACCCAAACACATAAGACCTAAACCCCAAACCCTAAAACCCTAAACCCTAAACCCTAAAACCCTAAAACCCTAAACTCTAAAACCCTAAACCCTAAACCCTAAAAAAACATCCCGAGCCTCTATGTATTAACAGCTTGGGATCCTCCTGCTCAACCTAAACCCTAAACCCCTAAACCCTAAACAACATACCTAGGCTCTCCGTATTAAAAGCTCGGGATCCTCCTTCTCAAGGCCCTACCCTTAGCATCAAAATAGCCCAAAAGCCGTATATAATAGGGTCTTTGGACCCAAAAGCCTTCAAATATGAGTCCTTTGAGGGTAAGGCCCTAGAGCAGGCCCTAAACCTTAAACCCTAAACCCCTAAACCCTAAACCCTAAACCGTCTTCTCAAGGCCCCAGAGCAGGCCTGCACCAAGTTCACCACACGGCTTCCGGCGAGCCATCGGCCAGCAGTGCGACACCAAATGTCGAGAACCTGGGTTTGAAACAGGTTTAGGGTTTAGGGTTTAGGGTATAGGGTTTAGGGTTTGGGGTTTAGGGTTTAGGGTATAGGGTTTAGGGGTTGTTTTGTTTGGGTTTAAAGGTCCCTCTAAAGGGTTCGAGTTGGGTTTAGAACCTGGGTTTGAAACAAAGTTTAGTTTGGGTTGTAAAGTCCCTCTAAAGGGTTCGAGTTGGGTTTAGGATTTAGGCTGGTCCTACAATGCTTTCTGGTCTATCATGTCGGGGCCTAGGGTTGTTACATGTTTGGGGTTCGGGTTTTGGGTTGCACGTTTACGTTCCGAGTCTCGGGCTCATGCTTGGCTAACCCTACACCTTTTGAAAGGCTCAGGGTTCGGGTTCAAAGGGCGAGGATCTGGAATCTAGGGTTTCGGGGTTTTGACAAAGCCGTCAACGCTGCGCAGTCTGTATAAGAAGACCGTTTCAATCCTTTGCAGGGTTGCTTTGGACTTTCGAGCAGCTTCATCAAAGTGGCACTAGCTGCAAAGCCCAAACACCCAAAGGCCTAAATCCCGAACCCTCAATCAAATCAAAACACTAAAACGCTAAACCCTAAACCGTCGAAACCCTAAAACCCTAAAGCCCCCAACATCCTGAACCCGAAAATGAAAACTCTAAAACCCTAGACCCCAAACCTCTAGACCCTAAACCCCAAAACCCTAAACCCCTAAACCCTAAACCCCTAAACCCTAAACCTTCGAAACCCCCTAAAACCCTAAAGCCCCCAACTTTGTAGCCCCGATGATCTGAGGCAGCCGCCGTCGCGACGAACTTGTCCAAGTTGTGCTCAAACCGCTCCTGCGCTCCGAAAAGGGGTTTAGGGTTTAGGGTCTATGGTTTAGGGTTTAGGGGTATAGAAAGACTGAGTCCATTTAAGGGGGGTTTGGTTTAGGGTTTAGGGTTTAGGGTCCATTTAAGGGGGGGTTCCGAAAATGGGGGGACCGTAATCTAGTACCGTCAATAGTGGGATACTTATTACAAGGACCCCAAAATAAGGTACCCTCATTTTCGGAAACTCCCATGTCGTGGTGGTCGTGGTTCTGGTGGTAAAACATAAGTGTCTTAATGATTAGAATAGGGTTTTGGGGTCCTTGATATGCTAAGGAGCCCCCAAAATAGTGTAGGTAATTAAAGGCCCCTAAAGTACTGCTGCTACTGTTGCTGCTGTTGTTGTTCTTGTTGTCAGTTTGTTGTTCTTGTTGCCGGTATCGTCGCTGTTGGTGGTGGTGGTAAGGAGACGGATTCCCGAACAAGCGCCTATCAAAGTTACCACCCAGGCGGCTATGACCTGAATCCTGCACGAAGCTCCGAGCCCAAGCCCCAAATCCAGCATCTGCAGACAGAGTACATGGGAGTTTCCGAAAATTAGGGCTACCTATTTTGGGGTCCTTATAATAAGGATCCTAGTATTTAGGGTACTGTATTAGGGTCCCCTATTTTCGGAAATTCCCACATAGCTTCTAGTAGTTTGTAAGTGGGGATATAAAAGACATGTTTGGGGCATCCTAACTATGACGTTCCTTTTCACCTACTTACTGGATGCCGTCTGCCTCCAACTACGCCGCAAACAAGGTAGGTGCCTGACTGGCCGCCCTCGTGCTTTTGCACTTCCGGAAACCCAAGAGACACTGCATTTACAGTAGGGTTTTGGGGTTTAGGGGTTTAGGGTGTTTTGCTTAGGGCTTAAGGGTTTAGGGGTATTGCGGGCTTCAGTTTGGAGAGGCCCGGAACTGCAGAACGAAACGTGTGAGGCAAGGACTCCACTATGCTGCACACGATTAGACCATGGACGTCATCATAACTGGGCCATGGACCCTCTCAACCGCAGACAGGATCGGCAAAACCGAGCGAAAACGCGTCAGCATAAAACCCGGACAAACATGCCCGAAATTCGAGTTTTGCACAAGAAACGAGCAAAAACAAGATGCAGGTCACTCAACAGAAACACCTGCAGCAAAAAGCAAAAGGCATCAACAACTCGAAGAAACTGCGTGCTGCAGAGCAAGACTGACAAGGAAGCACAGTGAACCAGCATCAAAAAGAGGACCGGGCGGTAGCTCAGCCACCTTGGCACAAACAACAAATCCCAAAATGCCCAACACGATGCTTCAGAAGAAAGCAGACGAATCTCGAAAGCGAAACTCCAAAAATCGAAGAAGCGAAGCATGGCTCCGCTTCAACACTCTCTCCTGACCCAATGCCGTAAGGGTCCATGTACTCATATAGTACATACATTGGCCTTAATGTCGTTCCTATTTAGGTACTTTGGGGTCTAAGTATATGCTAATATGGGCACATGGACCCTTAGGGAATGTTGAAGAAGATAGGAACCCTAAACCCTAAACCTCCAGGTACCTACTTTATAGGGCC